CTCGCGCTCCACTGATCATAAAGGTGCTGAGTGAGGTCATTTCCACTCTCTTCATTCTACAAATACTTACCCCATGAATGATTGCACACATTAAAAAAAAAACCTTACTGGTTACCTTTACATATGGGCTCCACCTGGCCCACCTCTCTGCCAGGCCTGGGGATGAAGGGCACGTGGACATGGTCAGCACTGGACATGTGCACCTCTCTGCTGGTCTTCCTTCTCAGCGTCCAAAGAAAAGAGTGGGAATGGGGTTACTATGGTGCTTTTCACACTGCAAGATGCACAGGCCACCCTGAGGGATCTTAACACAAATGCAGGTTCTTGAATCTGTGGGTCTGGAGCAGGACCTGAGATTCTGCATTTTGGACAAGCTCCCAGATATTATGAGGGGTGAGAGGTGATAGGAATGTCAGCCCTGGGCTATCCCTCAGAGATTCAGGAAGAACTCAGGAATCGTGGAGTACAACTCCCTCTTGGTGCTGACAGAGGGAGAGAATCAGAGAGGGTAAGACACTTGTCCAAGGCCACACAGTGAGTTACAGGTAGAGACTAAGTCGTCAGACTCCCCTAGGTGCTCTTTCCACTGCTTCCCATTTGAGACTAAGGACCGATGTATCCGATGCTCTGACACCATTTTCGTATCATATGCTTTTGGCATTTTCAACCTCTCCTCCCCCACCTCCTATCTGAATTTCCATACTAAGGTAGTTGCTTAGCAACTCTCAGACCCCACTCTTTAGAAGCAGTCAGGGCAGACCCCAATCTCTAGGAAGCCTTTAGTGTAGCTTAGCTTGGTCCTGGAGCTCGGCCCACCCCTCCCCCCGGTGCTACACATCTGGATTCACAGAGAGCACTTGAGTTGATGGAGTGAAACCGTATTCAGGACAGAGGCAAGGCTGTCTTCTCCAGACTGAATAAACAAAATCTAACAACAGGAATTCATTTCCTAGAAATTAAACACTGAATTTGCTAGCTTTTACAGAATCCAAACCCACTATTTACCATCTGCTTCCCCTGCAGGGAGGCACAACCCAGCATGATGACAGGCACAAGCTTTAGTCAGGTAGACTGAATCCACTTCCCAGTTTGCCATTTACTAGCTCTGTGACCTTGGGCAAGTTACTCAACCTCTCTGTTTTATCCATTCAATAGCTAATTATTAAAAGCTTACCACATGGTTACTAAAAGCCTGAGAAACACAGATGCAGACTGAGATTTTACAAAAACTTATGGTGGCCCTGGAGGAAAAGGTTCTGGAACCCCGAAGCACAGATGTGACTGAGGAGGACATGGGAGCAGGCCAGGGGATATGGGATATGACACAACCCCGAGGTTCTTCTCTGAAAGTGACTTCGAAGCTGAGCATGAGGGGACAGACAGGATCAGCACCAGGTGTCAGAGTCCAAGGTACCTACTCCTTGAGACTGTGGCTTGGAGAACCCTTCTCTGCCATGTTCCCCCAACCCCTTTGCTGTTTCCTATCACTCACCTTGCCAAGACCATGCAGTCCAGTCCCTTCCTCTTCCCCTTCCAAACATTTTCCTCTTCCCCTTTGCTGAACTCAGCCAAAGTTGCCACCTCCTGCTTGACTGGCAACTCCTCCTGCCAAAACCACCATCACTCTCCCTTCTCGGAGCTCTGCACAGCCTCCAGCCTCCACCTGCAATGCTCTCGTCTCCCCCACCCTCTCTTGCAGTCCCCTGGTCCCTAGAGATGGAACTGATCCCTCCCTGCTCTTTGCCTCACTGATTACACATCACACTGGACTTCCCTGGACTGAACTTGCCAGTGGCCTGCCTCCTTATCTGTCTGATTTCTGAAAAAGAAGGGGGACATTGGGGTCAGGAAGCCCAGTGCCCTCTATGTAGGGTCTCCTTCCTAATAGTCTACCTGCCCAACTCCAACATCACCCTCAAGACTGAAAACAAGCTGGCTTCTGTGGTCTAAGCTGGCCCTGATCCACGCCCCCCAATGAGGTCAGCTTCCCTGCTCTGTGCCAGTCAGCACCTGGAGCTCAAGATTTGGATGCAAATCTCTCACCACCCATAAGCCTGGGGCTCATGGTTCCTCTCTGCAAAATGGTTTATTCCTGGAGCAGAGATCTCAGGGTGTACATAACCACGTTTTGGGCTTAATACTTCACAGTGAGTCAGTAACAATTTGCCTAAAGGATGAATAAAAGAACATCAATAATTTTTACCTTGAACTCCCCTTTCTGCCCTTCTGGCTTGGCTCTAAAAGTCCTTTCGTCATCCCTCCTAGATGTCCCGCAGTGGCCACAAGCTCAACCAAACTGCCCTCCTGCTCCTCCTCCCCCTCACCAGCTTCTCCTCTTTCTCCCATGGCATTCTCCTGTCCTGCTCACCCTTGCCCAGCCTTGGAGTCCTCCTTGCTGCTCTCCTGGTTGTGAACCTGAGATTGTCCACTTTTGAAGGTCAAGGGTCAGAAAGGGAATGCAAGTGGCCTCCCACACCTGGGGCACTGTGTCTTGGTTCAGACTGTCCTCTCTGCCCGAAAGCTCGCTCTTCCATCTACCGCCCCTGCCGCGCGGACACACCACACACACACACACACACACACACACACACACACACACACACACACACACACACACACACGCCCACTATAAGCCTGCTGTTCTCTGAGGCTCTTCTCCAAAGTCCCTTTCTCCAGGACATCTTCCTTGGTCAACCGGACGCAAACTCTCCTCTAAAAACTCTACTGACTCAGTTGTCTGCCCTTACTGCCTGTCCCCTCCCAGGGCTCTGGCGCCCACAGCGGGCTTGCAGTGAGCCCTGGGGCAAGAGCAGAGCTCCCCCTCTTGGATTTAAAACTCCCTGACCTGAGGCCCCATCTCACTCCATAATATCCAGAGGGTGGCTGTCGCTTACAAGGCCCCTGCCCACCTCCTAAACACCACCTCTTCAGCAAAGCTCTCACCAGTCAACAGAAAGTGGCATCATCCTCCACGTAGCACAGCTTCATGCTCAATGCACTTATCTCCAGCTGATATTTTTTGCTTGTTTGCTGCTTGTCTGCCCAATACCTCCCCCTCCCACAACATGCACTTTCTGTCTGCCTCATCGCCAGATCCCCAGGGCCTAGAACAGTGCTGGTGTGTGGGTCTGCCTGAGCTGAGGGCTTTGTGACTCAGGGGTGTGATAGGGAGAGTCGCGTCCAGAGGAGAGTCGGGGATGAGATCACCAGAGGAGAGGGGCTGTGTGAGAAAGGAGGGCCTGGAAAGGCAGAGAGTTGCTGCAGAAAGGAGAGCGAACCTGCAGAATCAAACATGATGGAGGAAAAATACAAGTGTTAAGTCACAGAAGCCCCAAAGAAGAGAGTGTTCTAGAGGAAAAAGAGTGGTCATAGTGTCAGCTGTCGCTGAGAGAGGAATTAAAGACAGGGGGGCCTGCTGGATTCGGCTTCCTGGAGCGCACTGGGGAACTCGCTGGGCCCCTGCCCCTCTGTGGGGCTCAGGAATGCCAAGCTCGGGACCGTATCTCTGTTCAAATTCACAGCACTGCTGTCCAGAAAACAGCCCACTATCTGTGGCCCAGCAAGCAAGGGGTGCCCAGAGACCACGCTCATTATTTATCCAGCAGGTAACTAAGTCAGAGGAAGCAGCTCTGGACCAGGCTGTGGGAGGAGGCCCCAGGCATGCCAGTCACAGCCGTGTCCAGCTGGTCAGCATGCCCTTCGATGTCATCTCCTGGGTCCTGGTTTTCTGGATGCTTCCGTGATTTGTCCCCCCACTGGACACCACCAAAAGTCGGAGGACAAGCTGTCCAAGTGGCACTGCTGCCTGCTCTAGGTAGCGGGTCCCCTGATGAGCTGGTGAGAAAAGCTGAGAACTGGACAGTGGCTGTGTGGTCGGGAGGAAAACAAAGACCCACATGCTCAGTTAGGAATTCCAAGCACTTGGAGCCAGTCCCAAGGAAGGCAGGGGAAGGCTGCTCCTACAAACGAGCAGTGACTACTGCTGGTGAGAGCAGCACCAGGTGCTCTGCAGCAGGAGCACAGCAAGCCTGTGAGGGGCATTCTTCTCCCCACTTCACCGGGAGGAACCAAGGCTCAGAGAGGCTATGGGCTTTCGCAGGTCACACAGCCAGTAAGCAGACTGGGTTTGCTGGAGCAGCCGGCTCACTGAGTGTCTGCTCTTCACCTCTGAACTTCCCTAGAGCTAGTGAGCAAGGGGCTTGGGCTTTATGTTCTCTCACAAGCAGCGTGACCTTGGGCAGGATTTTCCCCCACTCTCCCTACTGCAATAAAGCAGATTCTTGGTGCCCTTCCATCTGAGACTGTGATCAGCTAGGATCTGTACAGAACTTTACAGTTTAGAACAAGGTATTAGCACAGAGCATCTCGTTTACTCTCGCGGACCCCGCCGGGTGGGAGACGGATCCCCTCCATTGGATAGATGTGCAAACTGAGGTTCGAACAAAAGCGGTGACCTGCCCAAGGTCACGAAGCCAGTCAGGGCCAGCAGGTTCTGGAAGCCAGACTCCACGCTGGACACTCCAACTCCCCTCCAGAAAGGGGCGGTCCCGCCGCAGCGCGGAGACCCGACCTGGCCGGCAGGGGGCAGCGCCCCGCTTCCCCGGCCGCCCTGGGCCACGTGGGGGCATTGCAGCCCCCCGCCCCGGGGGTCGCACCTCCGGCCCCGCCAGATCTCGCTTCTCGGTCGGGCGTCCTGGACGCGCGCCCGGGATGCCGCAGCCACCTCTGGGGGCTGCCTCGGCCCACCCCTCCATCCTGGGGCTCCGGACGGCGTTCCCCGGACGCTCCCCTCGGGCTGGGCTTCTGGGACCCCTCTCGTCGCGCGCGCCCCACCCGTCCAAAGGCGCCGAGCGACGGGACGCCGCGGTCGCCGAAGCCCCCAGAAGAGGCGCCCCCCACCCGCCCCAGCTCCTTCGGGACGACCGCAGCGGCCCGGTTGGGGGCTGCGCGAGGACCCCGGACGCGCCCCTCCCGGGCGGCACTCTGCGCCGAGCGCTTACCCGCTCCCCCGGCACGCAGGTGCGAACCCCGGCCGGCCCTC